GACGGTCAAGCCGAAAGAGTGGGATGGGCCCAACCCCCCCTCCCACAGCAGCCCCCCAAGCTGGATGGCCTCCTCAGCCCTGGGTGCAAGCGAGGCCTGCCCCTCTTGGCGCCCTAGACAAGGAGGGGATGGAGGGGAAACCGGGGGGGGGAAGGCAAGGGGGAGCCAGCTCTGCCCAAGATGGGGCGGGCATCAGAGGCAGGAATCCAGAAGCAATGTGTCGGAAGGTCCAGGAGAGATTTCCCCTCTTTTTGAGGGAGTCCAAAGGCCGCTTCGGACGTTTGTGTCTAGTTTTCCTGCAGAGGAACAGTTCTGAGCAGTGGTGATTTCCTCATCCGTGGTGAGAAATCAGGAGTAGAGATCTCGTCTCCCCACCCTCCTCCCCTCCTGCTGAGGATGATGATCTGAGGGTATTGGTGCGGGGGAAGGAGGGAATGAAATGCAATATCTAGCAAGTGACTCCACCAGCCAGTTCTTAGGAGGGCCCATTATCTTCTGACTACCCCCACCAACATCCCAGAATTACACACACACACACACACACACACACACACGAGACCCCTTTTCTCTCAACCTGCTCCTTGGGATGTGGTCGTCCTTGGGCCTCTGGCTGGCCCAAGGAAGTCCAGGTCACAAATTCCTGGGCACGAAGCCACCGTATCGACTGTTCTCCCCTGGCTAATTTTATTTGCTCCTGACTTTGGCAAGGAGGATCTCCGTTTCCTTTTTAAGCTCAAGCTCTCCCTGACTTTTTCCTGACGGTTGAGATCTTCCAAGAAAGGAAGGCAGTGGAAAAGCCCGCTCTTGCTTTTGGTGCAGAGTGGTGCTTGGGGGTGGGGGTGGGTTGGAGGGGGAGAGGCTGGCATCTCATGGGACAGACGTGGCCAAAGACCAAAGGCGGGCCAACCCACTGAACCCGCACCCCTTCCTGGCGGCAGTCACAGGGGGGCTTTTCTGAATTTCCCTGCTGCGTTGTGGGCATTTTTGTCTCTGTGTGGCCTGGCCGAGGGAGGGGTTGCGTGGTGGGACGCTACTATGTGAATGGAGGGAATATGTGGCTTTCTCCTGGGCTGCTCCTGGCCTGCAGCCCAGGAGGCAGGATGGGGCCCGTGGGGCAGAGGATGTGTCCCCCCCCCACCTGCACCCCCGCTTCCACCATTTCCGCCACCCCCCCAAAGCTTCCTGACTACCTGGCCCTCGGCTGCCTCTGCCCAGGGCAGGATGATCCCCTCCTACACCCTTGGCCCAGGAAAGAGGAGGGTATCCTGGGGCATCTTCCAGCTCCGCTGCCTCTCAGAAAAGGCTCCAAGAGAGCCAGGCAGTTGTGGGGAGGGGTGGGGCTGCTGCGTATGAATGTGGGAGATGATGCTGCCAGGTGGGGCACAAGGAGGAGGAGGAGGAGATGGGGGGGGAGCCCAAGCCAGGCTGGTGAGGGAGGGAGGGAGGGAGGGCAGGTGCGGCAGAGTTTGTGGGCCCATTTAGGTCGCCCTTGTGCCAAAGGTTTCACAGCAGGGAGGGGAACACACAGAGAGTGGGCGTTGAAGCCCCCACCCCCTCAGCCCCTCTGTGCATCTCTCTTGAGCGCCCGCCTTGTTCCTCCCATCCCCAGAAAATGCACGTGTTCAAGAAGACCCTGCAGGCCCTCATCTACCCCATGTCCTCCACCACCCCCCACTACTTCGAGGTGTGGACAGCCACGGCCCCCACCTACTGCTACGAGTGCGAGGGTCTCCTCTGGGGCATTGCAAGGCAGGGGATGCGCTGCACCGAGTGTGGGGTCAAGTGCCACGAGAAGTGCCAGGACCTGCTCAACGCCGACTGCCTGCAGAGTGAGTGTCGGGGTGTGGGGGTGCTGGCGTGCCCCTGGGCCTTCAGGAAGGGGACCCCTGGGCCTTTCTGGGGAGAGCTGGGGGAGGGAGGGCTCTCTGGGAGGGGGGCATGCCGGGCGTAGGGATGCCAGGCCATCCACACACAAAGACGGCTGTCCCTGGGGGAGGATGAGCAGGTGCGCATACGAGACTCACCGCTGGATCGTGGCACTCCCTCCGCCCCGTCTTCTCCATCCAAGAGCTGCCCCCTTCCTCTTGGGGTCTTCTGGGGAGGGGAGAGATCTTCTTCCGCGCCCAAACTGACCCCCTTTCCCAAGCCTCTTTATTACGTGGGCAGAAGATCGCCCACCCTGTGGGACAGCCTGCTCATGGCTCAGGGTGCTTCAGCCCCTCTCGGCATTAATTCTCCCCCCACCGCACCCCAGAAACAAAACTCTGGCCCCGAAGCAGGAGGAGACGGAAGGCCTGAGGCCCAGGAAGGGTCTTCACTCAGAGGTGCCCGCTCCAACCCATCGTCTAGCTGCCCACAATGCCAAAGAGATCGCCCACCCTGTGGGACAGCCTGCTCATGGCTCAGGGTGCTTCAGCCCCTCTCGGCATTAATTCTCCCCCCACCGCACCCCAGAAACAAAACTCTGGCCCCGAAGCAGGAGGAGACGGAAGGCCTGAGGCCCAGGAAGGGTCTTCACTCAGAGGTGCCCGCTCCAACCCATCGTCTAGCTGCCCACAATGCCAAAGAAGGGAGGGGGGGATCCCAGAGAAGGGCCTTGCCAGGGAGCCCCCCCCCCCGCCCCCAGCAAGGACTGCCTTCCTTAGAGAGGCCTGCTGGCCACCGAGGTCACCGTCTTCTTGGCACCTCTTAGAGCAGGGGGTTTCCGTGCTCTTTGCTCCCCCTCTTGTTTCGGGTCAAGTGGCAGCTGGCGGGTGTGCATCTTGTTTGTGATCTGGTGTTGTGTACTGTTTGGGCATCTTATTTTCCTGTATTGCTATTTTGTATTTGATTTGTACTATGTAAAGGAAACTTTGTCTCCAGTGCCAGAAAAATGGCTAAAGTGTAGCCAAAGCCGGTCTCTAGAACTGTTTCTTGTGCAGGCAGCTAATAGGGGTACGTATTTGTTGCCCTGCTGTGGTTGTTTCACAAGCCAAGCGGCCAGTCAGGTGACTCCCGTCTCCCTCCAGGAGCCGCGGAAAAGAGTTCCAAGCACGGGGCGGAAGATAAAACCCAGACGATTATCAGCGCCATGAAGGAGCGGATGAAGATCCGAGAGAGGAACCGGCCGGAGGTCTTTGAGCTGATCCAGAAAGTGTTCCAGATCCCGAAGGAAGACTTTGTGCAGCACATGAAGGCCGCCAAGCAGAGCGTCTTGGAGGGGACGTCCAAGTGGTCGGCCAAAATCACCATCACAGGTGAGAGGAGGAGGAGGAGGAGGAGGCGCTCCTTTTGGCCCTGGGGTTCCTGCCTGGCCGGGGGCCGGGGGGGGGTTTGTCATCCTCATCAGTGGTTTTATGAGCGGGACAGGTGGCCCTGAAGGAAACAGAGCAGGGGGTTCATCTCAGTGTGCGTGTGTGTGTTCCTCAGCAATCTCACACCCGGCCGTGGGGAGTTCCTCTGCCTCCCAGTTGGACCACCTGCAGGGGCACGCCTGCTTTGAACGGTGTGTGCCTTTTCAGCACCCGAGGGTGTCTTGAGGAGCTTCCCAGCAGACGGGAAAATGTCCCGTCTCCCCGACTGCCCACGTTCAGGAGAAGACCGAAGGCAAAAGCCTTTGCACGCCTGCCAGGGACCAGGCGCCGGCGGGGCCCCCCCCACGCCAGCTGGGGGAGCAGAAGCTGGTGCAACGCGTGGATGCTGGTTACATGGGGACCCTCCAGCCGTTCAGAACATCCTGCAGGGGAGCGTTGGCGCCAGTCAGGATCCTGTTTCCCTCCTCGGCCCTCCCTTTGGCCAGGGGGCTGACTCCCCCTTATTGCCCCCACAGGCCCCAGTTGACGGTCACCCCTCTAGCAGAGGGCATTTGCGGGGGGGAGTTTGAATCAATTTTGGCTGAACAGGTTGGGAGCACTCTGTTCCCCCCCCCTCCCGTAACTCTTTTTAAAATTCCTGCCACCTCTAAACCTCCTCCCCCCTCTTCTTCGGATTGTGGCTGCCCAGCCAGGCAAACGTCAGGCGCCCCTTGCAAATACTCGGTATGATTGATGGAGAGCCATCTCCCTCTCGTGCGAGGGCAGCAGGCGTCTCCCTCCCTCCCTCCTTCTCTCCCTCCCTCTCTCTCTCTCTCAGCCAAGCAAACCAGGAATCCTGTGTGGCACCTTAATGACCTTGCAGATTTACTGTGACTCCGCTGGCAGCCACTGAAATTTATGCCGTCATAGATCTCCTGGTCTTTAGGAAGCCGGAGGGCTCTTTGGGGCCGTCTCCAAAGCCATGCCTCCCCAGCTCCGTGGGGCCCCTTTTCAGCTCCCCCAGAAACCCGCCTGATCCCCAGCAAGGAGGTCAGTGGCCAGCCTGGGACCCGGAGGAGGAAGAGGCCGGGCAGAGGTTGGGCAGTGAGGCTTGGAAGGCTTCGCCTGGCAGGAGGGCGTGGCTTTCCACCCAGGTTCCCCAGGGGTGGGGTGGGGGGGTCCCTTTGGGCCTCTGCCGGGAGACTTCCAGCAGGCGCTTGGGTCCAAGCCTTCCTCAGTCCCGGAGGAAGAGGAGGAGGAGGAGCAGGAGGGCCTCCCGGAGAGGTCCAGATGGGGCAGCTGAGCTGTTTCTGTGGCCCCCACTGTCCTTGGGAAGCCTCTGCTGGGAGGATCCTCCTTCCCCTACTGTAAAGGACTGTGGAGGCAGGGGTCTTGGCCGAGGAAGGGACCCTACATTTTCGAGGACCTTGCAGTGCAGTTGATTGCTGTGGAGGAGGGAAGCCTTAGATGGACAGGTAGGGAGCGCTGTGGGCGGGCCCCGGGACCACCTCCAGGGTGGGCCTTCCGCTGGCTCTCCCCTCGTGGCCATAGCCCAGCCCCCCACCTTGCACAGCAGGTCCCTAGAAGGCAGTGGCGGCAGCAGCAGCGGTGGTGGGGGTGGTGGGGGTGGTGGGGAGAGATGAACCTGGGGAAGAAGAAGAAGAAGAAGCATCTCTCCCAACGATCCAGGTGCTTCGCCTTTGATTGTTCTGCAGACTCTGAACATGGTTTTAACATGGTATCATACTAATATATTAACACATTGCTTTGGTGGTGCTTTCACATGCCTTCATGGTAATGCCTGTGATTTTATTGACGGTCCTGTTTTATGTTGGCAAGCCATGTGAAGAGGAATTCTTGCTTGGGGGCTATATAAACATTTGAAGCCAAAAATTAAGAATGAATATTGTGCAAAAGGTGCACAAAACCCCTCCCTCATTCCGCTCTGTAAATGGGGAGGGGCAGGCGCTCTCCCTGGCAGCCCCCTCCCAGTGGTCAGCTAATGAGAGCAGGCTCTCCCCCTGTTATTAGTGACACTTCTGGACCTTAATTAAGCACTTCTGTTATGATACTTATAGTGAGACACAGCCAGAAAATAAAACATTCTTTTTGGGGGGGGGGAGAGGTGATAGGGAATGACCCAAGGTGTGTTTGTGTGTGTGTGTGTGTGGGGGAGAGAGAGAGAGAAGTTGTTTCGCTTGGCATTTTGTGGGCCCAGCATGATTTTGGCTGAGATATTGGTGCAGTTATGAATTGCCATGGAGGAGACAAATGACAAGCGCTTGTATTTACAGCAGCATAAACACACATTTGTGTCTGTAAATTCTGGCAGCTACGCCAATTCAAATCAGTCTGGACCTTTTTTGCTCCCAATGTGGAGGGCTTTCTCTCTCTCTGCTGCTGCTGCTGCTGCTGTCAGCCATGACCAGCTTGCCAGACCCTGGGGCGGGGGGCAGCCAGAAAGCAGTGTATTTCTAGGACACATGGGGGGAGAGGACTGCAGCCAGAGGTGGCTAGAAGAGAGAAACAAGTGGGGTGGGGCGGGAGGGGTCCCATTTCTGATTCCAAAGTGGGCCGAGAGAGAGAGAGCGAGGGAGGCTTCAGAGAGGCTCTCCCGGTTTGTGGAAGGAAGGGCTACCCCTCGGCCCGAGAGCCCTTTGCTCTGCTGGAGCTGGGGTGGCGCGTGAGGGTGGGTGGGAACAGGGCAGGGGCTTCTCCCAGGCCGCTGGCCACCTGGGTGCGGCGGCCCTGACTTTGCCCGTTCCCTCTCCTCCTCGCAGTGGTCTGTGCGCAAGGCTTGCAAGCCAAGGACAAAACCGGCTCCAGCGACCCCTACGTGACGGTGCAGGTGGGCAAGACCAAGAGGAGGACCAAGACCATCTTCGGGAACCTGAACCCCACCTGGGATGAAAAGTTCTACTTGTGAGTATTGCCCGATGCCGGTTTCTTGGGGGTGTGATTGTCGGGCCCTGTGTGACACACCCACCCGCCACGGGTGATGTTAGAAGTCCCCAGCCGTGCATCCACATGGCAAGGCTGCTGGCCAGGGAGGGGCGAGGCCAGAGAAGGGTGGCATGTCTGGAACCCTCCCTGGGAATCCGAAGGGCAAGCGGGCGGCTCATCAGCCCTTTCATCTCTCTGTGCGGGAGGGGCTCTGCGGCGGGGGTTGTCCCCAGCCCACCCCTGGAGCTGGCCGGAGCTGTGAAATGGGTGGGTGCCTTCCAGGATGGCAGGAGGCCCCCCCCAAGCATGGTTCAAGGGCACTGTGAACACAGGAGGGGGGATGCAGGACCCTCTAGGCATTGCAGGACTACAACTCCCATCATCCAGGGACAATGGAAGCTGCAGCCCAGCAACATCTGGAAGGCCACACCGGTTGGTTCCCTTGCCTGCACTGGAGCTTAAAGCTGGGATGGCTTCGTGGTCCTTAAAAGGGGGCCACATGGAGCCCCCCCCTGCCCGCCCGCTGCCCAAAGCCTTTCTCTAAGCACCTTGGCCCTCCTCCTCCTCCTCAGAGAGAGGGGGGGGGAACTCCCATCTGGAAGGGCTGACTTCTCATTTAGATTGTTTTCCTTCTAACGATTCCCTTTGCTTTTCTGTCACACCGTTTATAAATGCTCCTCCAAGAAAGGAGAGCTTTGCGGGTGAGGTGGACGGACGGCTCTTTCTAGCGGAAGGTGGTGGTCTTGTGCGCATCTCGAGCTCTTAATGGAGCAGAGAAAGCCTCGCTAGAGAAAGCTGCGGTTTGAAGTGTTTTGAATAAAAGATGGCCTCTCAGGCAGGCCGGGTCATGTCAGGAAACGCAGGTTCCCTTCAGGGAGGGGAGGCAAGGCATGGGCGGGCGGGGAAGCCTTCGCTGGCAATGACTCATTCCTCAGCTCCACTCCTGGCAAGCCAGTGGGGGCCTCCCGTGGCCGGTGGGGGGG